AAATTTGGGGTAAGAGCAGGTTGGAAGGTTTTATAGTAAATGGAATAAAGTCCATTAGGTAATGCTTTAATCATTTGCATAACTTCCTCAGCTGAGATTGGTTTAGTGAGGTTGGGGATCCTATCAGTGGGCAGCGAGGGTAGCTGGATGGTTCCTAGAAACTTGTTTATCTGCTCTTGTGTCTGTTGGGATGTCAGGTCATCTTCCTTGAGATTACAGAGTGTGTGGTAAAACTGAGCAAATTCCTGTACTATTTTATCAGGGTTCACAATTTTCTGACCCAGGGGGTTATGAATGTATGCTATTTAAGTCTGGATGCTAGTACTTTGCCTGCTCTGTTGCCCTGCTCGTAAAATGTTGCTGTAAGTCGCCTTAGGAAAAAGTTAGTTCTAGCCACTTCCAGTTCTTGTAATTGTGTTTGTAAGTCTTTAATCTCTTTGAGGTGCATCCCTGTGGGTGTTTGTTTATTAAGCATATTCAATGTCGTGAGGTGGCTAGTGATGTTTATATATTTGGCTAAACGTGCGGCTTTGGCCATACTAGCGTGCTTAAGTAGTACTTCCCTGATGTATGCCTTATGGGCTAACCATGTATTTTCTATGGGCGTGTCTGGTCGAGAATTGGTCATAAAATAAACCTCCAGTTCTTTATGGAGATCCTCCAATACCTGGGGGTCAGTAAGCAAATTTTCATTAAGCTGCCAAGTTCCTCTCCCCGTAGCAGGAAATTGTTAATTCAGCTGGAGTATGATCGGCGCATGGTCCGACCACATTATAAGATGTGTTGACAATGTTGCTGAACAGGGAGGTGGGTATTAAAAAGTGGTCTATTCGGGAGTATGAGTTATGTGACAAGGAGTGAAACGTAAAATCCTTTTCTTGTGGGTGTGTCACCCTCCATGGGTCTATGAAATTCTGCTCTAGAAGGAGTTGATTAAGGTGCCCTGTGGCTGTTTTCCTGCCTGCCTCAGTAGATGTGGTCACTGTGTCTGAGGAGGATGTTTTAAGTTGAGTGTCTAGAATGAAGTTTGTGTCTCCTCCTATCACTACTTCCCCTAGTCTGCACTCGTCCAGTGAGTTATATTACTAAATATATTAGAGAAACGCTGCCTGTTCTGTATGAGGGATGTATAAGTTAATTAAAGTGTATGGGGCCATTATTCAATAGGCATTGAATAATGAAGTACCTCCCCTGTTTGTCTGTACGTTTTGTTACTAGTTCCAACGCCACATCTTTCCCGATAAGGATCGATACACCCCTTTTTTTCTTAGAGAAGCAGGAGTGGAAGTCTAAAGGGAATAGGGGGAATTGAATTTAGGTCTCTTAGCCCATTGGAAATGGGTTTCCTGAAAAAAATACGATTCAGGCTTTTGCCCTTTTCGCTTCCGCTAGTGCCAGCCTCCGTTTATTCGGGGAGTTGCGTCCTTCAGTGTTCAATGATAGAAACGTCAGCACCATTCTATTACATACAACCTACTGAGCTGTCCAGTACATCTAAGCATCGTTCCGTCATCCGTTATCTTAGTCCCCCTGTCGTTTCCCACCCCATTGGGGCTCTGGGTATAGGTCCTCCTGTGTGTAAGAACTTAAGAGCGAAATAAAAGAAGAAACTTATATACAGTGACCTAAGAACCATGACAGTATGGTAATTAGTGTGAGTGACGTATACCACATGTAACGGATCACCTGGCACCCCGGCTGGGTACCTCCGTTGAAGGATGCTCCAAGCGCTTCCTGAGGACTCCAAGCACTGCAGCAGACACCACAACCACCGAACCGGAGAAGCATATGAATGCTCTCAAGCATTTGAATGTTGTATACAGCTGAATAGGAAAAACCGTGCAAATAGGTTTACACTCCTAGCAGTCAAACTGGAACAGCATACAATAAATCCTTCCCCAATAATGAGACGACACTTCACTTTGAGGGTTAATCAGGAACTGATTTACTGGGGCTAACTGCCCGGCTTTTATGCAGGTCTCCCACCTGGTGGACACTCCCCTAGGGGACCAAATGGGAGACTGGGACACAAAGGGTAAAAGGACCAATCACAGACTTACACATTTCAACCATCCCACAATGCATCACAACCCCTCCTCTCTGCCCTGGAGATAATTGGGAAGTAATCCAATTATCTCCAAAGACAGAGGCAAAACTCCATTAACCACATGGCAGAAAACAAACAGTAAAAGACATAAAATTACCTGCAGTTACATTCAGTACATAAAACATATACGTTCTACATATCCCCAGATAGCTCAGATCTGAGTGCACATTATTACCGAATGGCGCTCAGATCACATATATACAGTTCAATCGCCATGGAGCCAAAGTCCTTCACATAGTCTTTTTGTTACATGAACAGGCTCCATGGCTTAGTTAAATAAAAAATAATAGAAAAGGGCTGCGCACACAAGTAAAAATGAAGTCCAATGTAAAGGAAAAGAAAAGTCCCAATGTTTATCCTTACAAATGGTCTTTGCTAATGGCGTTCTTCTCTTAATGTAGCGGTTCCACTTATATGAAAGAGAGAGAAGGGCGACCAATAGTGTAGTATATAAAATTCTGGTGTGGACGTAAAAAATAATAATAGTATAGAACTCACATTTACCAGAGCTATTGTCCTAGCTCTGGGGTAAGACGCATACAGCGGTTTAATCCCCGCTTATGGGATTTGGATGGGTTCCTCTCTGTGATAGGTGTCCAATTCTCGGAATAAAAGAAACAGCCAATAGTGCTCACTGTATGGCAATATGGATAAAATAATAAAAGAATGTACTTACAAAGCAGGAGCAGATTTCCTGCTCCGTGATGACAGCTTGGGTGGATTGATCCCCACCTAGGATTTCTTTTAGTACAGGAAGCTTCCAGGAATTCTCAAGGTTTTTATTAAAACCAGTAAAAAAGAATAAAAATAATTAAAAGGCCAGGGTTAAAAAAAGGGAGAAAATTATGTGTCTATAAAAAAGATTATTGGCACAAATAAATAACCAAAAATACTTTAATATATAAAAAACACAATAATTAAATTTTTTTTATATATTAAAGTTTTTTTATATATTAAAGTATTTTTGGTTATTTATTTGTGCCAATAATCTTTTTTATAGACACATAATTTTCTCCCTTTTTTTAAACCCTGGCCTTTTAATTATTATTTTTATTCTTTTTTACTGGTTTTAATAAAAACCTTGAGAATTCCTGGAAGCTTCCTGTACTAAAAGAAATCCGAGGTGGGGATCAATCCACCCAAGCTGTCATCACGGAGCAGGAAATCTGCTCCTGCTTTGTAAGTACATTCTTTTATTACTTTATCCATATTGCCATACAGTGAGCACTATTGGCTGTCTCTTTTATTCCGAGAATTGGACAACTATCACAGAGAGGAACCCATCCAAATCCCATAAGCGGGGATCTAATCGCTGCATGCGTTTTACCCCAGAGCTAGGAAAATAGCTCTGGTAAATGTGAGTTCTATATTATTATTATTTTTTACGTCCACACCAGAATTTTATATACTACACTATTGGTCGCCCTTCTCTCTCCTTTTTTCTCTTTCATATAAGTGGAACCGCTACATTAAGAGAAGAACGTCATTAACAAAGACCATTTGTAAGGATAAACATTGGGACTTTTCTTTTCCTTTACATTGGACTTCATTTTTACTTGTGTGCGCAGCCTTTTTCTATTATTTTTTATTTATCCAGTTTTAAAGGGTCTGAGGGATCCCCTTTTAAAGGCTGCTGCCTATAAGTTATCTAGCGCTGTCTCATTTCTATTCCATGGCTTAGTTATCTGGGTGATGCTGTTCATCCGGTTAAACTACCGAATGAACAGTCATTCGGTTCCGCTCTCGAATGGGAAGGGAAGGAGGCTGGCGGCTCAGCGGTGTTCATGCAATTAAGTGTCCGTTTTCAGTTCCATAGTTTAGGCGCTGAACACCGCTGGCCGTTCAGGAGGTAAAATGGCCACTGCCACGTGTTCAGCAACCGAACAAAGGCCTCCCAGCGTTCATCAATTAAGCTGCGGTTAACCGCAGCTTCTGGGCGGTCAATTGACGGCACACTCCAGTTCCCAGGTGGTCCATCGTTCGGTAGTTTGTTCGGTAGATTGAATCTACCGAACACCCTGGCAGAAAGGCATGAATAAACCTTTCAGCAGGGAAAATAACAGGTCTGAACTGCAGGGCCATAGTCTAAAGGGAGCAGGCGAGCAACCAGGCTTCTCCAGGGTACAGTGGGGAGGTTGGTTTCGCCACACCACATACGTCTTAGTGTCCTGGCTCGGGTCACTGGGGGTGAGGTGGTGAATAGAACCATCTATTAACTATGTCATGTCATAGGGGACTGTCCATATCCATGGCTCTAATCCTTGACCGAGACATCGAGATGTCGGTGTCCTTAGGTCAAGACAGGGAGAGAACACATGTTATGTATTGCTGTCTTGCTCTCTATTTTACGACCTATGTTCCTGTGTCGTTTGTACATGCATACTTTCAACAATATCAACATACTGAAATATACTGAACGTGCCCGGTTGTTTGTTTGACCTCAGTGTAAGGCTTATCTTATTTTTTTACTAATTTATTTTATTTATTTTTTGTCTTTTACTTTAGTCATTTTTTTTATTTTATTTTTCTTAATTTTGTTTTTTATTTTCTTTTTTTGTATACATTTTTTTTTGTATATGTTATTATTATTATTATTATTATTATTATTATTATTCTGCTGTATTTTGCAAACCAAATGCAGTCTAACCTAACAAGAAAAAAGAAAATCTGATTTACCGGGCCGGTCCTGAGTTATCCGGCAACCAGTGGATTGTGTATCAGAGCCCATTGGGCAGTATCACTGGGCGTCCCCTTGCCTTAATCCACTATGTTATTATAGGGGTGTTAACTCCCTCATCTGAAAAACATATCAACCGGCATCTAGAACACATTCCCTCTCATTAGAAAAAAATAATAACAGAAGTGTCTATGGTGTGCTGTTTACTAAGCAGCTTCAATTCTGTGCCAGTCTCCAGCTACTCAAGATGGGTGGGTGGGGGCAGATTTTTCCGCCGACTCCATCTGTGGCAGGGGAATGTTTCATTGCGCCAGCCCGTTTCTCCCTTCCACCGGGCTGAGAAACACCATCTCCACTCTATTCCTCCGTGTGATTAGGCGTGTCGGAAAGCCCCATTTGTATGGTATGGACAGCTCTCTGAGTGCCTTGGTGATAGGGCCAAGAGCTCTTCTTTTAGCCATTGTCGCTGGTGACAAGTCGGTATATAGTTGGATGCCCTTGAAGCGCTCTCCTAGATTCTGTGCATCCCGCGCCATCATCAGCCTCTCTTTTACCGTGTAGAAATCTACCCTTACAATTGCATCTCTCGGTACTGCTGCTGGGAGGCTTCTGGGCTTCATCACCCTGTGGACTCTGTCTAATTGTAAATCATGCTCTGAAGCCTCCGGTAGCAGTGCATGGAAGAGCTGGGTGACATAGTCTCTTAGGTCAGGTTGTTTTACATCCTCAGAGATGCCACGCAGACAGATATTGTTTCTGCGGGCCCTATCTTCTAGATCCACCACTTTTATCTCCAGTTGCGGTATATGAGTCTGGAACGTGGTGTAGGCATCCACCAGGGTATTATGTGCTTCTATGACCTCCTCCATCTTGTCCTCTAAATGGGTTGTGCAGTCCCCAATGGCCTGTACATCTCTCTTAATGTCAGCAGCTAGTTTTTGGAAATCCAAAAGGTACTCAGTCTGACGGAGCTAGTCTCTCACACATCCAGCTCCGTCTGTGTTGTAGCCACGCCCCCGATAATTTGAACATGATGCCCACATGAGGTAAGTGCAGTTCAATCATACATATCTAAAATAAAATAATCTAAAGCAAAAATGCAAAACAAGAATTGTAAGTACAATAGCGATCTTAACCAATTTCTAGAATGCCCACACAACACTAACAGTTAGCTGGGAAAGCTCATTCTCTCTCCCACAATTCACTGACTGTAGGAATGGTATAATCGATTGAAACTAAATTTGCTGTTCTATAAAGAGTGGGGTGCTGACATTTTCATCACATTTGCAGACATTAAACTAAGTGGAATTGGTTGCTGGCTGAGACATGTGTTCATCTGCATGCTGGTTACCATGGAGTATCAATTAAGATGAGTGAGATTTTATGGATTACATATTTTTTTTTGCAAATTGAATGAAAAAATATACATCTATACATACTTTTGGTGAGTGAAATGATGTGATTATAACATTTTATGACACACTACCTATATCCAATATACATCTATGAGTGATAAACAGTGCAACATATTATTGAAACAATTGATAGGTACTTTGAATTAGTCACATCTTACTTGTATAGACTGTCAGCTTCCAGACATTTGAAAATAACAGAGTACAGACTTTTGTCTGTGGTCTCCAAGTGGGTTCTTCCAGCTGCAATGCAACTTGTTCCTAAACCAGATAATAAATCATCTGCCAGACTCAGGGACTCTCCTGGTAAAGTACAAAAGTAAATACATCAACATGTAGCAGAAAATAGAGTAAATGACTAAAACACAGGTAAATTGTGATGTGTATGGCATTTTAATTGTAAGACCCTCTTCCTCACATATATCTGGATTGTTCACAATTGATTGTGTTTAACTAATTAATTATACAAATATATGATTATTGCTGTTAATCCAATGAATTTTATAAATACTGCTTCCATGGGTGACTCTTAGAGTCAATTAAAAATATGGCTTAATAAGAAACCTAGAATAAGGACCAATCTTCTATATTTAAAACACAAACAAGGAGGAATTGGTTTTCCAAACATTTTCTTATACCATCAAGCGGCCCTCTTAATGCATAAAATTACTACGATCAAACAAGATAATATTATCCAAGAATGGTGTGAAATAGAATCTAATGATACTGATGAGCCATGTAATGAGGTTAATTTGTTCTGGTCAACAAGAATAAACACCTGCAGTAAAATCATGACATGTCAAACTTACAATTTAATACTAAAACCTCTAATTAAAGTTTGGAATCATTTAAAAAAAAAAAAAAAAATTAAATCTAAAAGAAAAATTCTACCGGCGCTACCATTCACACATTTATCAAGCTGGATCGACAAACAGGATTTAAGGGCGTGGACACAACAGGGCATTAAAACAATTTCAGATTTATTTAAAGAGTCAAAAATTATGTCTTTTTATGACCTACAGAATGTATTCGGGCTCTTTGCAACACAGACATTCACCTTTATCAGAATACCAGGTTTTTTATTCAGCTCCACATATCTGAATTTGGCATCTCCAGCTACTAAATCAAATGAGTTAATTAAAAATTATAAATCTGCAAAGTTACTAACTAAATGTGTAGATATTATAAGGATTATATAAAGTCCTGTTCTGCTAAAGGCAGATGGGAAAAGGACTTGCATATTAAAATCAATATGAAAGAGTGGTATGCAGCCTTACAATCCGTATATTCTTCGGCTCACTGTTTGACTATAATGGAGACACATTTGTTTTTGGGGGTTTTTGCCCCTTATTTTAACACAAAAGCAACCAATGACATACAATAGACAGTCATTTAATTCATACTATGCAATTGCTAAACTGACAAAAACATAATTTTGGTTAGCCTAGAGAGAGAACAGGACATCAATTTGATAAAGTGCATCTATTTTCTCTTTGTCTCCAAATCTTATGTAGAATAATTTTCTTCTATTAGGGTAAGTGTTTTTTTGTTTGTTAACATGCTTCTGTAAATTATTTTTGGATGATATATTAGTTATCCAACCCACCCTCATCTCCATTCTTAATTGCAATACCAGTTGGGTTTTCTATTGGGAATACGTTAAGTTATTTAGTTGTTTCCAATTTCTAGCAAGGAGAGCATTTGCTGCAATTAAGCTATGTGTGGTTATATTTTGTTGTTTCCTTGTCATAGTTAGTCAAAGCAAATGTAATAATACTGACTGGGGAGATCTCTGTATCTCAATCTCGTCAAACTTAAATAAAAAATTTTAACATCCAGTCCCATAGTTTCTTGATATCTGGACAACTCCACCATACATGAGTATCGTTATTCATGATATCTGATAACCTATTAATATTTCTACTTTTGCAGCTAGAAACCGACATATCATCTATTAGGTTATTAAAAACTTCCAATTACAGGAAGTCAAAGATATAATTATTTAACTTTAATTTCTTTTTGACTTTAAACCATACTGAAAAAAAATATATATATAGTATATGTGACACAACCTTATTATCTTTCAGTTCCTTCACCCACTTTGTCTCTACTTTCCATATAGCTTTAATTATGTCCCCTTTTTCCATAGTTTCTTTTTCTATCTTACGCAAACCCTCTTTATTCCATCTATAGTTTATCAACAATTGAAGATGGTATATTGTGTTAGCTTGGTAATATTGTTTAATGTCTGTAAAATGTACTCCTCCTTAGTTTATTTTAAAGCGTAGTCTTCCCAATCCTATTCACAACTTTTAACTTCTCCATACAAAATTCTGAAAGCTGGCCTGGATCACATCCAGCCAGCTGCCTGGTATATGTAATGGGAACATTCTAAAGAGGAATGTCCATAAAGGGAGGATGTATGCTCTCACTACATTGATTTCCCCATCCAGCTTAGAATATTTTACCCAATTTGTTTTTCTCAGAGTTTTCATAACTTAACTTCTATTATTTTATAAATACTGTTTGTTTTTAGTTTTTTTTATAATAATTCATTTTATTTTCATAATACATATAAAAGATACATTTACAGTGAGGGTCAACTCTTGCTTGGGTCCAAATATAATACAAAATAGATAATATTGTGCATATTTATATAATAAATGACTCATCTTGTTCTGCTTTTTAAACAGATATGTGACAATTCAAACAGTACAAAACAGCATTATACCATAAAGTGCAATACAATACAAAACATCACAAAAAGCGTTGCTTAATCACCCTTGTCGCTGAGTGTCAATGATGAAAGAAAAACAAATAAGAAAAACCTATACATCGATCAGGGTGCTTGAATTGCTAAACTCTCCATTCTTTTTTTCCAATATTTGCTTGTGTCCCTATTTTTTGTCGTCTGATAACCAAAGGCCTCCATTGTTAATTGATACCGGACTTGTGAATACAGTTGGTCCCATACAAGATTTTCAGTGCTCTTCCATCTCCTTGCTATTATTATTTTAACTGCCGCTACAAAATGCACGTTTATAAATCTATCTTTAACATTAAGTGATTGTAAATTAAGGTGTAGCAAGCTATTATGTGGGCCCCTTGCAGGGCCGGCCTTAGGGGTGTGCGAGCTGTGCGGCCGCACAGGGCGCCATGGCAGCAGGGGGCGCCCTATGGCTGACACAGCTTGCACACCCCCTGCCCTCTACCAGGGCTTAGCAGCCCGAAAGAGACTGTAGGAGGCGGAGCCAAGCAGCCGATGGGGGCGGAGCCAAGTGGTCGGCGGGGGCGGAGCTAACCGAGGCCTGAATCTGCTGCCTGGTAAGTGAGACCATAGTGCCCCTGCTCCCCCTATAGTACCCCTATTCCCCATCTATCGCTATAGTGCCCCCCTCTACCCCTATAGTAACCCTGTTCCCAATGTATCCCTTTAGTGCCCCCCTCTTCCCCTATAGTGCCCCTGTTCCCCATCTATCCCTATAGTGCCCCCCTCTTCCCCTATAGTAATCCTGTTCCCCATCTATCCCTATAGTGCCCCCCTCTTCCCCTATAGTGCACCCTCTACCCCTATAGTACCCCTGTTCCCCATCTATCGCTATAGTGCCCCCCTCTACCCCTATAGTAACCCTGTTCCCAATGTATCCCTTTAGTGCCCCCCTCTTCCCCTATAGTGCCCCCTCTTCCCTATCGTAACCCTGTTCCCCATCTATCCCTATAGTGCCCCCCTCTTCCCCTATAGTAATCCTGTTCCCCATCTATCCCTATAGTGCCCCCTCTACCCCTATAGTAACCCTGTTCCCCATCTATCCCTATAGTACCCCTGTTCCCCATCTATCCCTATAGTGCCCCCCTCTTCCCCTATAGTACCCCTGTTCCCCATCTATCCCTATAGTGCCCCCTCACCCCTATAGTACCCTGTTCCCCATCTATCCCTATGGGGTGCCCCCTTCCTTTCTATAGTGCACCCTCTACCCCTTAGGTAACCCTTGTTCCCCATCTATCCCTATATAGTGCCCCTCTTCCCTATATAGTGCACCCTCTACCTCAGAAAAACCCTGTTCCCATCTATCCCTATAGTGCCCCTCTACCCCTTATAGTACCCTGTTCCCCATCTATCCTTATAGTGCTCCCCTCTACCTATGTGTAACCCTGTTCCAAATGTATCCTTGAGCTCCCTCCTTCTTCCCCTATAGTGCACCCCTCTTCCTATCGTGAACCCTCTGTTCCCATCTATCCCTATAGTGCCCCCTTCCCCTATAGTGCCCCCCTCTACCCCTATAGTAACCCTGTTCCCAATGTATCCCTTTAGTGCCCCCCTCTTCCCCTATAGTGCCCCTGTTCCCCATCTATCCCTATAGTGCCCCCCTCTTCCCCTATAGTAATCCTGTTCCCCATCTATCCCTATAGTGCCCCCCTCTTCCCCTATAGTGCACCCTCTACCCCTATAGTACCCC